TCATCGGCCGGTTGCCCAGTCAACCGTTGGGGGAGGCACGCCCAGGGGGAGGGCGAGAGAGGGGCAGGGACGCACAGTTGGAGTTCTTCTCCATGTCCTCGAGGATCTGGCTCTGTCCTGCGCCCATGTTGACGGCGGCGCGAGGTTCGACAAAGGGGGAGCGGGCGGTGGGGAGGAGAGGCGAGAGGTGGTGAAGTTCGGGGCGGTCGGCTGGACGCAGGTGCTGCTATTGGGCGTGCTGGTGTGCAGGTGGGCGGGCCTTGCTGCGTGTGAGGTAAGGACGAGGTTCGGCACCTCCTCATCGCTTCGTCGTCGACGCGTCGAGGTCCAGCTTGCCTCCACCGGCTCCTCGCGCCTCTTGCGCAGCTCGCGAGCGCTTGTCGTGGGGGCACAGCAGCCCTGCGCGCCCTCTAGTCCCGCTCACGCGACGTGCTGCCGCTTCGGCGTGCCGCCGTCCTCCTCGCCTCCTCCTCGCGGTGCTCCCGCGAGCTGCTCGACCTGGACACAAGGCTTTCGCGCTGTGCCTCCTCGCGGTTGTCATCTTCGCCAGATTCGCGACGCTTTCGGCGTGCGCCTGCGGCCCTTGCAGCGCTGTACCAGGCTCGGCGCGCTCGCTCCCTCTGCTCCCCTCCTCGCGTTCGTGCTCTGGCGCCGTATCGGCTGCGGTCAAGGCCGAAGACCTCTTCCATAGCCCCCCAGTTGCTCTCGGGTCGCATCTGTTGGCTGCGCGACGCTGAATATCGAGTCTCGCTCGCTCGAGCGACTCGAAGGAGCAGCGACGACTCGCGCAGTCGAGGAGGGCGAGGCTTTGTCGGACGGCGAGCCGGGCTGCGTTCTGCGTCTCTCGTACTCTCGATGGGCGCTCGGGCCAAGATCTCAGGAGGACGATTGGGCTCCACGCAGATCCAGTCGACCGAGAGGAACGGATTGACTCGAGGTACATCTACAGACTGACACGGCGATACGGCCCCCTACTGTACATTTCCTGCACGCTGCGAGACCGATCTAGAGGATGTAGCGGAACGCCAAGTCGTCGATATCGGTCGTGTTGTCCTCCTTGGTCGCCGGGCGAGGCTGAGCCGCCTCGACGCCCTCGGCGGCGAGCCGGTCGCGGCGGCGGTTCTCGCGGCGCGACAGCTCTTGGTAGAGGAACATCGAGGCGATGTAGATACAGTAGAGGGCCTGTGAGAGGGAGCAGAGTGCGTCAGGAGAGTCTCGAGAGGACAGGCTCGAGCGCAGGCGTTCGTCGCCGCTTCGGACCAGAGGGAAGGAGAGAATGGAGGGACGTACGATAATGGCGTTGGTGGCGGTGCGGTAGAGAGGGGCCTCCTTCGTCAGGAAGAGTTGAGGGCCTGCGTGAGATCGAGAACGTCAGGATGAGGTCGAGGAAAGGGAGATTCAGCGACGCACCTGCGATGCAGCCGGCGCAGTAGCCCATGAAGTAGACGACGGACACCATGCTCTTGCGGGTCTGTCGGGCGCGAGTGGGTCAGGAGGAGTGACGGGCGGAACAGGAAGGGCTGGGTCGACTCACGTGCCCCTTGAAGTTGCTCGCGATGAGGCTCATGTTGACGACGTACACCGACGAGTTTGCGGTCGCCATCCAGTCTGCGAGGGACAGGTGAGAGGGGGAGGCAACCGAGGGGGAGAAAGGAAGGACGAGAGGATGGGCGAGAGAGTAGAGTCAGTTTGAGAAGGTCGAGAGTGGGAGAAAGGGGAAGACGCACAGCCAACGACGAGGCCCCACCGGTTGGCGTCGCTGTACGGGAGGGTGCGCATGACGATGACGCCGACGAGAGGGACGAGCGTGAGGGCCATCTGAGTCCAGCCGCGCGAGTTGGGGAACCGCTTGAGGGCGAGCGCGCCGGTCCAGATGCAGATGAGCTGGATGCCCGGCCCTGGCAGGCCGACGAGGATCGTCTTGAACGGGTCGAACTTGAAGCCCTTGATGATGATCGAGCCCATGGTGACGATCGAGGTGACTGCGAGTCGGAGATGCGAGGTGAGCTTGGGAAGGTCTGAGACGAGGAAGAGCGGGACGCACTGCAGACAAGCGTCGCCCAGAGGAAGACGATGTAGAACCGAACGTCGGTCAAGGTGGCCCAGAACTGCGGCCAGGACCATTCAGAGTGCTCGCCCGACTGTGCGAGAGGGAGGGTCAGGACGAGGCGGCCATGCTCGGATCGGGACGGGAAACGAGACGACGCACAGCTCGCTCCGACGCGACACGAAGAGCAGCCACCTCGCGCTCCTCAGGCTTGAGGAACCAGGCCGTCGAGGGCGACTTGGGGACGAAGATGAAGAAGAAGACGCCGCCGACGAGGGTGAGGATCGCGCAAATGATGTACGACAGGCGCCAACCCTTGAGCGCGATGTTGTCGATGGACCCACAGCCGTACAGGAGGAGCGCTCCGACGATCTGCGCGAGCGCGTTGAACGAGACAAAGACGGCGAGGCGGATGGGCTGCTCGCGCTTGCGCCACCAGACGCTGCTCAAGACGATAAAGGCGGGCGCCACGGCTCCCTCGGTGAAGCCAAGCTGCGGGTGAGGGTCTGAGTCAGGCTCGTACGTCACAGGGAGGTCGAGCGGGACGCACCATGATTCGGGTCGCGAGCATTCCAGCGTAGTTGTGCGGCGCGGCTTGAGCGGCGACGACGATGGCCCAGGCGACGATCGAGACGGCGACAAAGGTGCGGATCGGGAGCTTGTGCAGGAGCCACAGGACGACGGGCTCCGAGGCGAGCTGGCCAAAGTCTGCGTGTGCGGGGCGGGACGAGTTGGCGCCGGCGCGAGGAACGTCGGGAGCGAGAGGACGACGCACAGAAGTAGCTGGCGAGGTTTTGGTACTCTTGGCCAACGAGGTTGAGGTCGGTGCGCATGCCGAAGATGGCGGCGTACGACAAGCCGATCTGTTGTCGAGAGGGGCGCAAAGAGAGGGTCAGAGAGCTCGCTTGGCGAGGAGGAAGAGAGAGGGCGGCGCACCTTGTCGAGGTAGTTGAGGAGGACTGCCGTCGGTGACAGTACAGGTTGCGGTCGAACCGAGTGACGATGACGAGGCAGCGAGAAGAGAACGGAGAGTCGGGAGGGAGGGAGGGGAGGGAAGGCAAGGAGACGAGGCGACGTCCTTGTTAGCGGGCAGTCCTCGCCTCGGCGATAGAGACAAGAGAGTGCGCACAGATACTGCGAGAGACAAAGTGTCAGGGTCGGTCGCATCTCGAGGGAAGAGAGGACGAGAGGACGCACATGGCGAAAGCTGGCAGGACGGTCATGTCGATTTTGCGAAGGACGCGACGCTGCAAGGGCTCGGCGAGTCAGTAGCCTGCGCAGGACGACGTCGGGCTCGAGAGAGTGCGAGGAAGACGCACCTCGACGACCGGGTCGATGTCGACGACGGTCGCATTCGGTTCGACCGCGCCGCCGTCGAACTTGCTGTCGCCCTCGATGCTCTTCTCGTCGGTCGAACTCATGGCGCAGGTGGTTCGAGTAGAAGTGGGTGGAGGAGAAGCAAGAGCGTGCGGCGGTGCGAGCGAGGTCGAGGGCGGGCGACGAGCGAGATACGGCCACGAAGCGGGGCCACCTTGGGAGGCAGAGGGAGATGGCCGCGGCGGCGCGCAAGGAGCGCGGGCGAGGTTTCAGTTGGCCGTGTCGGCCAAGCTGAGCGCCCAAGGGGCTGGCCGACTCGCGGCGGATGACAGCGTGCCGCGGCCGGACGAGAGCGTGCGGACGTGGCTCTGGAGCGGGCGAGCTGGGACGGCAGGTGCTGCTGGCGGCGCAGGGGCACCGATTGGCCTGCTGATGCGCAGGGTCCACTGCTGCGAGCATCGAGGCAGGAGCTGGCGGTGGAGGTGAGAGAGGGCCGATTCGCGGTTCGGCCGAGCTCCGCCGTCTCGCCTGCTGTCGCTTGTCCTCGGAAGCGGCCAACGCTTTGGCCGACTGCGACTAGCTAGCATCATGTGGTTCGCCTGTCGCCCGCCGCACGGCCCCGCGTCGAGCGCCTCGTATCGCTCTCGGCTCGCTCCTCCTCCTCCTCCCCCTCCTCAAACCTCGGCTCGCGACCACGACCACCTCGCCCTGCACCCACACGTCTAGCGGCACACCTCCAGCATGCCCTCTGTCGACCACCTCCACCACGCCAACGGCCGCGCCAACGGCCACTCGCACGACGACGAGGTCGACAAGCCCTTCCCCGGCCCCTCTCGAACTCGGCCCAGCCTCCTGCCCAAGCTCGTCCTCAAGCCGTGGCTCGCGACCGCCCCAGCAGGGCTCCTCCTCGAGAACGCGCGCGTCGTCGACCCGCGCTCGGGCGCGCTCCTCGACGGCCTGCACTCGGTCGTCGTCGAGCGGGGCAAGGTCACGCACGTCTACCCGGTCGACGAGCCCGACCTGTTCGCCGAGGAGGCGACCCTCAACAAGGTCGACCTCGCCGGCCGCTACCTGTGCCCCGGCCTCCTCGACGGCCACGTCCACGTCACGGCCGTGCCCGGCGTCAGGACCATCGGCGAGCTCGTGCGCACGCCCGAGGAGCAGGTTCACTACGCGACGACCTACGTCCTCAAGGGCATGCTTGAACGCGGCTTCACGACGGTCCGCGACACCGGCGGGGCGAGCCAGCCGCTCGCAAAGGCCATCGAGGAGGGCCTGCTCGTCGGTCCTCGGCTCTTCCAGTGCGGCAAGGCCATCTCGCAGACCGGTGCGTCCCTCTCTCTCTCTCCTCTCGAGTCTCCTCGAGCCGAACGGGACCTGACATCGAGCGCAACAGGCGGCCACGGCGACTTTATGCCGGCCAAGAGCGGCGGCGAGCCAGGGTGTTGCGGCGGGCACTCGGCGTCGCTCGGGCGCACGGCAGACGGCGTGCCGCAGGTTCTGAAGGCGGTCAGGGAGGAGCTCAAGGCGGGCGCAGACTGTGCGCACCTCTCTCTCTATCTCTTTTCCTTCCTCGGTGGCCCTGCTCTCCTTGCGAGCGCTCTGACCCTCTCTCGCTCGCTCCCTCGCAGTCATCAAGGTCATGGTCGGCGGCGGTGTCGCATCGGCGACTGACGCCATCGAGACGGTGCAGTACTCGTCCGACGAGATCCGCGCCATCACCGACACGTGTCGGCAGATGGGCCGCAAGCACTCGACGGCGCACGCCTACACGGTCGAGGCGATCCGGCACGCCGTCGACAATGGCGTCAAGGGCATCGAGCACGGCAACCTGATCGACAAGGAGACGGCCGAGTAGTGCGTCCTGTTTCTCGCCGTCGCCTTGCCCTCGCCTCGTCCTCGTGGTCGCGGCCTGACTTTGTCTTTCCTCGCCGCAGCCTGGCCGAGAAGGGCATCTTCCTGACGCCCACCCTGTCCTGCTACGGCATAATGGTGCGGCCGCCGTTCGAGGACTTTCTGCCGCCAGATGGCCAGGTCAAGAACAAGGAGGTCATGAAGGACGGCCTGCAAGCGCTCAAGCTCGCAGAAGAAGCCGGCGTCACCGTGTGCTAGTGCGTCCCTCTTCCTCTCTTTCCCTCGACGCCTGTGTCCTGGACTGACTCAGCTTGACGTGCTGCGCAGTGGTTCCGACCTCCTCACCTCGATGCACGCCCTCCAGACCGAGGAGTTCACGGTCCGAGCCGAGATTCTCTCGTCGCCCGCCATCCTGCGGCACGCCACCATCAACGTCGCCAAGATGCTCGGCAAGGAGGGCCTCCTCGGCGAGATCAAACCCGGCGCGTTCGCCGACCTCCTCGTCCTCGACGCCAACCCGCTCGACGACATCACGGTGCTCGACCGGCCCGAGGACCACCTGCTCGCCGTCGTCAAGGACGGTCGCGTCGCCTTCAGCTCTCTCCCCGAGCTCAAGACTGTCGAGGACGAGGCCAAGGCGGACTCGCTGCGGCTCAAGAAGCGCGCGAGGCTCGCGTGAGAGGGCGTCGCTCTCGTAGACACTATTACATCGCATTGCACCCGTTCAGGTCGACGTGCTCGCCTCGCGAGAGCCGCGAGCGCTGTCGAGAGCGACGAGAGCAGACGCAACTTGATGAGAGAGATGTGTCGCCGCCTCGAGCTCGTTACCGCCACGAGCAAGGTCGAGCGAGCTCCGCTATGAACTGCAAAGCGCTCGTGTGCACCCCGCCACGCCCCAAGGACCGCTGAGAACAGCCTCGCTCCTCCCCACCCTCCGCAACAACACCTCGCTCGCCGACTCGACCCACCGCTCGAGGCCAGCTGCAAAAGCGCTCGACCGACTCGTCCATCGTCTCCAAGCACGTCGAGCGCACTACATCCATCAGCGACGCCATGGAGGACGACGCCGGTCCTCCCATCGCCTCGATCGCCCCGTCCTGTGCCCAGCCTCGACACGACCAGGAGACGACGGTGGACATGTCTGGTGCGTTCGCCAGTCTTCCACTCTACCCCCTCCAGTAGACTGACGAGTGGGCGCCTCCGTCCTTCTGCAGAAGCCGGTCGGGCCAAGCGCTCTCGTCGCGACCGTCCTTGCGACAACTGTGCGTCGCCGTGGATCCTCTCAGAGCCTGTCGAGGATCATGACTGACGGCCCTTTGAGATCCTGCAGGCCGTACGCCCATGGCAACGCGACTCGTCCTCCCGCCGGCCTCACTGACCCTCCTCGCCTTCCCCTCTTTCCCTCCTCGTCGGCTCCGCAGGTCGGGCCAAGCACCAGTGCACCATCCCTGTTCGCGGCGAGCCCTGCAAAACGTGCAAGTCGCGGTCCAAGCCCTGCACGTTCGACGCGCCGCCGACCATGCGCGTCCGCAAGCCCAAGGCGGTCGACCCGGCGTTCGTTCCTGTCGATCAAGGACCTCATCGCGCCCGCCGAGACGACTCGACGTCGATGCACGATACTTCGCCACGGCTCGGCAGCGAGGCCCGACGACGAGATTCGGCGGGCTTGGCCCGGGCGCCGAGCCAGGCGCGCACGTCCGCGGTGCGTCGCCATCTTCTCCTCACACTTTCCCCCGAGCGTTCCCTGACACCGCCTCCTCCACAGTCGAGCGACTCGATCGTCTATACGCGACCTTCCACCACCCTGTCGTCGGTCCTGTCCCTCGTCCGCAACTTTGTCGAGCAGCCGCCGAGCCTGCTCGCGGGTCACGGCCAGCCGCCGCCGTCCGGTCCCTTCCTGTCGCCCGGTGGTGGTCGAGCCGAGCTCCACTATATCTCAGCGCACGCGTTCAGCGACCTGACTTTCTCGGTCGCCGAGGAGCACGTCGCGGCGTACCCAGGCGATGTCGGCTTTCGTCAGGTCTCTGCCGACCCAGTTCTACCGGCCTTCTTCGTCCAGACGCCGAGCCTCATGTACGGTACGACGGCGCCGTCCGGCCGACAGCTGTACGAGGCGGCATGCGCCGTTCTCGCTCCCGGCGCGCCTCAGCAACTTGTCGAGATGTGCGTCCCGCCCGTTCCCTCTCTCCTCGCCCGGTCCCGCCATCCTGTATACCGTGTCTGATGACCTTGGCTCGTGCGTACAGCTTCATCAGCCAGACGCAGCCTGCCCTGCCCATCCTCGACCTGCAGTCGTTCCCGTCGAGCGACCCGGCGGCGGCAGCTCAAGCAGGCGTCTCGTACGGCCTCCTCACGAGCCTTCTCGCCCACTCGACCTGCTATGTACGTCCCTCTCAGTCTTGGACAGGCCGTCGAGCATCTCTGACCCCTCTTTTGTTTGCCTCGAGCAGGTCCACGAGATCCGCCCCGCGCACAAGCACCTCTGGCGACAAGTTCTCCTGTCGCTCGAGGACGAGTACCGCAAGCCCACCCTACAGACCTTGCAGCAGGCGCTCGTCGTGCTCGCCAGTCGGCCGCCGCTCAACTTGGCGCAGAACCACCTGGCGATGGGTCGAGTCCGTCCCATTCTCGCGCTCGAAGGTCCTCGCGACGTTCCGCTACTGACTCACTTGCCGTCGCCACAGCTCTCAAGTGCCGCACAGATCCTTGGCCTGCATCTTGACCCGACACAATGGCGCATTCCTCGCGACGAGCGTGTCCTGCGCAAGCGGCTCTGGTGGACCGTCTTGATCACCGACAAGTGGCGCGCACTGTGGTTCGGCCGGCCGAGCAAGTGCGTCACACACTCTCTCCCTCTCTCTCTCTCCTACCTGTACCTCCTGAGCGAGGCCGTACTGACTAATGTCGGCCTGCAGCATCTCGCGCGACAGCTGGAACGTGTCACTCCCGACCCTCGACGACCTCGACGCGACGCCCGACTCGCTCTCGGCACAATCCTTCATCGCCTCGTGCAAGCTTACGGTCATCGTCGAGTGCGTCCGACCTCCCGATACTCCCTCCAGCCGCCTGTACCGACATTTTCCCGTTCTCGCCCGCAGCACGGTCCTGTCCGAGTTCTTCACGGTCCGCTCCCTCGCCTCGCCGCGCCCTCCTGCGGCACGTCTCGAGTCAATTGCGCGTGTTGGGCATGACCTGTCGTCGCTCGAGCAAGATCTGCCGCCAGCGCTGCGACGCCTCCCGAGCAGCGACTCTGCGCCTGCCCCGAGCGGTGTCCGTGCGTCGGCCCTCTCCTCCTCTTTCCCCTGTCCAGCACCGAACCAGACCCTGACCTTCGTACCCATACCAGGCTCGTTCCAGCTTTGCAAGCTCGGCCTCGAGATGTCCCTCCTCCGGCTCGCGACGGGCGCCTTGCGCAGGCCGTCGGCGCAGCAGCTCATCTCGACGTCGCGCACGGCCCTCGGTCTTGCGCAGACACTTGTCGAGTTCCTCGAGAACCTCAACACGGCCGACTTTGGCACGTACTGGGCGCCGTGTGCGTCCTCCTCCCCTCCTCTTCTTCCCCTCTGCCTTGCCTGCCTCGGCGAGAGCTCACGGTCCTTCTCCCTTGCCGCAGACTGTTCCTTCATCATCTCGGCAGCAGCGGCGCTCCTCGTCCGCACCGCCTTGACGGCGTCGACGCTCGACCCGACGACGAGGACCGCCTCGGGCGTCTTCTTCACCCGGCTCGTCGTCTGCCTTACGTCGAGCCACCACGCCGCAAAGTGGGACGTCGCCTCGCTCGCCCTCGACCGCATCGCGACGCTGCTGCGCTCCCTCAACGGCGAGTTGCCCGAGCTCGTACCGCTCCTTCAGCTCTTCGGCCCGCCAAATCACGCCAGCACAGGTGCGCCCGCTCTTTCACACGTTATCTCTACCTTCTGTGTGCAACTGCCCTGACCTTTCCTCGCGTCTGCAGGACCGCCGGCGCCGCCGCCGCCGCCTCCTGCCGCAAATGCCGCAAGTTCACGCTCGGGCCCTCCTTCGATCGACCCTCTCTCGGTTCCCCCGCCGCCGGCGCTCCTCCTCTCTCCCTCTGCACCTTCACCTTCTCCCGCGACCGCCAACGACGTCCCTCGTGCGCCCCTATCCGCAGCCATGCCGCCCGCAGCACCACCCGCACCTGTCGATCAGTCGTCGCCCGCCCTCGACGCCTTCTGGTGGATGACGACCGAGATCCTCTCGCTCCCCGACCACCTCGGCGCGCCCTTGCCCGACATCTTCGACGGCTGGCCAACTTTTACCGACCACGACCATGGCGAGCCGGTCCTCGGCGTCGACGGCTTGGGAGGAGAAAGCCGGGGCGAGGCGGCATCGGCGGCCGGCGAGGGCATGCTGTTCGACCTGCGCAGCTTTCTCGAGGGACCGAGTGCCGGTGTGCAGCTGTCGGGAGAAGGCGGGGCGGCAGTAGCTGACGCAGCTGGCAATGGAGCGTGACTCTCTGATTGAGAAGGTCGACAAGCTTTCCGAGCGAGCGTTCGAGAGGGACGAGCACTCGCAGACAGACGAGGATCTACTAGTAATGCACTGCTGCGTGAGGACTGACTGATTTACAATCGAGAGGACAGGAGAGAGAGTACAAGAGAGAGGTGCGAGAAGAAGAGAGGTGCGACCGCTCGAGGCGACTCTAGACGGCGAGAGCGCGCATCTGCGGCTGCGGCGTCGCGTAGCCGCTCTGGAGGCCGCTGTCGACCTTGTGCATGTAGACGAGGAGGTCGAGGAGGCGGTACGAGTAGGCTGCGATGAGGGGCGCGAGCGTGAGCCTCGGCTCGTCGGAACCCTTAGGCGCTTCGACGGGCCAGAGGGAGAGTCGACGCACCGTACTCGTTGTCGTAGAAGCAGATGATCTTCCAGCATCGGTCGTTCAGGCGCGTTGTCGCGGCGACGTCGACGAGGCAAGACTCTTTGCGGCCGACAAAGTCGTGCGAGACGAGCTCCTCATCGACGACCGCGATGACGTCGCTTAGCGGCGCGATCGACCACTTGCGGCGACCGGCCGCCGCCTCGCGCAAAGGGAAGAGGAGCTCCTCCTTCGTCGCGGCGGGACGCTCGAGGGTGACGGTGAGGTCGACGAGGCTGACGTTGTTGACCGGGACCCGGACGCTGATGCCTGTTCGCGGACGAGAGAGCGACGTAAGTAATGTTCGACGACAGGGAGAGTAGCGGTCGAGGTAATCGTCGACGAGGCAGAGAAGACGAGAGAGAAAGAGGAGGACGACGTACCGGTGAACTTGCCCGCCAGCTCCGGAAGGACGAGCGCGACCGCCTTTGACGCGCCGGTGCTCGTCGGGATGATGTTCTGCCCGACGCCGCGACCTGTGGGCGAGGGCGAGGGTCAGTCTCTGTCGCGGAGGAGGAGGAGGGAGAGCCTCGAGCGCGGGAGAGGCCCGTGCGAGGGAGAGCCACGCACCGAGGCGAACGCTCTTCTTGCTGTAGCCGTCAAGGACGGGTTGCGACGACGTGGAGGCGTGGATCGTAGTCATCATGCCGGTCTCGATGCCGAACGCGTCGTTGAGGACCTTGGCGAGGGGTGCGAGGCAGTTGGTCTGCGGGCGACGACGTCAGGGCCTTTCCTCTTCGACAGCGGGCGTGGCGAGAGAGAGACGCACAGTGCAGCTCGCGTTGGATACGACCTTCATCTCGGGACGGTACTCCTTGCGGTTGACGCCGACGACCTGTTGGTCCAAAGAGGGGTCAGTGCGGGCGCGAGAATTGGACGACGGCGGGGCCAGGGCGCACGATCGTCTTGGTCTCGGTGTCCCTGTGTGCGAGATATGAGTCAGGCGTGGCTCGGGGAGAGAGAGGGAGGAAGAGCGAGAGCAACGGGACGCACTTGGCCGGAGCGCTCATGACGACCTTTTTGGCGCCGGCCTCGAGGTGCTGGCTGGCGAGCGCGGTCGTGAGAAGCTTGCCCGTGCAGTCGGCGATGTACTCGGCGCCGACGCTCGCCCAGTCGAGCTTGAGCGGGTCACGCTCACTGAAGAGCTGGATGCGCCGACCGCGCCAGACGAGGCAGTTGGCGGCCTCGTCGACGGTCAGGTCGGCCGCGTTGGGCAGGCAGCCGTGCGTAGAGTCGTAGTGGATCGAGTAGAGGAGCGTCTGCAGGGAAGGAACGGCGAGAGGAGGAATGGCGAGAGCGTCGAGGGAGAGGGTCAGTGCGGGCTCTGCAAATCGGCGCTGCGTCGTTCTCGCCGCTCGTAGGGCGAGCCCTGACGACAGGAGGACGCACCTTGAGGTTGGGCGCTGTGTGGTTGATGGCGACGACTGCGATTCGAAGTTAAGAAGGTCAGCTCGTCGCATTCTCGGCCGGCATCAAACGAGAGGGACGGCGGCGGCGCACCTTCGAGGTCGTCGCGCACGAGCGAGGCACGGAAGACGGCGCGGCCTGCGAAAGAGAGACGCAGTCAGCGACCGTGACGGGAGCCAGAGAGCGGACCGCGGAAAGGTGGGCTCGTGCACGCACCGATGCGCCCCATGCCGCTGATGCCGACGGCGGTGCGGTTCTGGATGCTGGGCATGGCTTGAAGGTCGTTCGATTGAGGAGCAAGGAGCTGCGCGAGCGAGCGGGTGAGAGACGAACGACACGCTGTGTCGCCGCCGGGCGAGGACGGGTCGACGGCAGCACTGATCGGGCGAACGTGGGGGAGGCGGCTTCCGACGTCCGACGCTCAGCGCCAAACACCTCCGGGTGAACTCTCGCCCAATCGAGGCATCGTATTGCCGCTCCTCCCACCGGCACGGAAGCGCGCATCCTCCTCCACGTCGACCAAGTCCGCACTTTTGCCGAGCTTCCTCTCTGTCCCGCACAGGGCCGGATAGCTCGAGCAGCAACTTGAGATTACAATGACAGAGGAGAAGGGAAGGCTGTACAGGACCCGCTCGACCGACGCTCAGCTCCAGCTCCACCAGCTCGCACCGACCCTCTGCGCCTCGCTGTCGCCTGACGGCGCACGCGCTCTGCCCGTCGCCGCGCGACCCTCGGCTTTCCCCACCTGCGCATTCGGCACACCTGACGCGCCTCCCGCGCCTGCTGCGCCCGTACTCGCGCTCAGGGCCTGCAGCGCGCCCCTCGCACTCCCCGCTGCGCCGGCTCCTGCGCCTGCTCGGACGACCGCCGCGAGCGAGTCGTGCTCGCCGTCGAGGTCGTGCGCGAGCGAGGTCGTCGTCGCGGCGCGGTACTGCGACAGCGAGGTGGCGAACGCGGTCGCGCTGGCTGCGGCGGTCGACGTGCGGCGGTGCTGGAACGGGCGAGAGGAGGAGGGCGACGTCGACGGCGAGGAGGAGGCTGAGGCCGAAGCGATGCCGAGGCCGTCCAGCGTCGACGCAGGGGACGAGAGGGAGGGTGAGAGCGTTGCCGAGGCGCGAATGTTGCCGGCGCGAGACGGCGAAGGCGTAAAGAAGGTGGACGAGGAGGGATAAGGGGAGGCGAGTGACGACGCGATCGTGGCCGGGCTTGGCGCCGCCATCTGGAACGGCGCCGAGCGACGGCGACTCGTGGGTGTGCGAGGCGCAGAGGTGGGTCTGCTTGCGGATCTGGGCGTGGGCGCGTCGCCGGCGAGAGGCGATCCGGGGATGGACGTGCTGGAGCCGCCGCTCGGCGACGGCGCGGCGCCGTGCTCCTCGACGAGCGAGTACAGCGCCGTGCGAGGCCCGGACGAGCCGACTGAGGGCGGCGCCTGCTCGACCGGCGGCTCGTCGACCCCTGCGCCGTCGAGCCGTTTGCCCGCTTCGACCTCGGCCCCACACGCCTCTCGCCCCGCTAGCCGACCCAGCAAGTCCTGCGCCGCACTCGACGAGCGCCGAACAGGCTGCGGCGCGCCCCAAACCGGCGGGCTCGACAGCTCCTGCTCAAACCTGCTCCCGCTCGTCTCCGCTCCCTCGCCCTCGCCGCCCTCCTCGTCCAGGCCGGCGAGGAAGCCCGACCCTGCACCGGTGGCCGTCGCGTACAGCGTCCTCGGCCGCTCTGCGCGGTCCTGCCGCCCGACGACCGGGCCCTCGCGCGCCGTGCGCCGGTCCGCGCCCGCCCCGACGCTCGGGCCCGCCTGCGCCCCGCCCGACGTACGCGCCCAGCGCTCGGTCGCGCTCTCGAGCTGCGAGAGCCTGTCGCCGGCGCGATCGGCCGCGTCGACGCCGCTGCGGAGCTCGAGCTCTGCGCGTGAGTCGGCGCTGACGAGGTGCGGCGGGCGGGCGACGGCGTCGGACGAGAGGAGGCGCGAGAGGGACGAGTGGAGGGCGGTGGACGAGGCGAGGATCGAGGTCGAGGTCGAGAGGAGGGAGCCCGTGAGGCGCAGGAGGTGGTTCAGGGGATCGTCCGAGTCGCTCGTCGGGTCCGAGTCGTCGCCGTCGCCGTCGTCTGCGGCGGGTGCGGACGGCGGGCGAGGGCGAGGGGTGCGGGATCGGCGGGCCGAGGGAGAGGGAGGAGGGATCGAGGACCGCGTCGCCGTCTCGTAAGGCGGCGGCGGGGTCGTGAGCGACTCGGCGAGCGCGCTCGCGGTCGAGAGGCGCTTGTGCGGCACTTTGACGAGGCCGCGCTTGCGGGGCGTGGTGAGGCGAGGTACCGGATGCGAGTCGTCGTGTGCGCTGCTGCTGCACTTGAGCGTGTCGATGGCGAGGTTGCTCGGGTCGGCCTCGGTCGAAGTGGCCGGGTTCATCTGGTCGACCGACGCCTCGAGCGGCTGCGCCGGGTGCGGCACTTGGTGCTGTGCAGGTCTGGAGCGAGCTGCGCGAGGCAGGGAGCGCCCTTGTGCGGTGGTCGAGGCGTGAGAGGCCTGCGAGGAGGACGACGGCGATGAGCGATGAGGGGAGTGTGGGGCGGGCTCGAGAGAACGGGGCGCACCTGCACAAGGCTGGCGGTTGTGGCGTGCTGCTGCAAGGTCGACAGCAGAGGTGCGCTGGTCGCAGAGGGCGTGCGAGGAAAGCGAGTGACGGCAGCAGAACTCGAGGTGCGTGCCCGTGGCCGAGCGACGGACGGCAGCTCCCTCTCGGCGGGACCCGCGGCTCAGGGTTCGACTCGCTTGCAGCGACACGCTCAGTACGGCTTGAACCTCCCTCCTCGTCCACCCCTCCCACCGCTGCTGCCGCCCCTGCCCCCGCCTCGTCCTCCTCCTCCTCCTGGGCCGCTCCGCATCCTGTCGACTCGCCGCTTGTCCTCCTCGAACCGCGTCTTGAGGTTGGCCAGCTCTGCGTGGGAGAGGTGCGCCTAGTCAGTCGCCGTAGAGAGAGAGACAAAAGAGAGCGAGGGACGCACCTTTGCGGCGGCTGTCGGCCTTGTTGAACCGGTAGAAGCCCTCGCCGACAATCTTCTTGATGCCAGCGTCGCGCCGCAGGTCCTCGTCCCCCTTGGTCGCGCCGCGCTTCTTGCCCGCCACCTTGACGCTGACGCCGCCGTACCCTTGCACGGTCGGCTCGACGCCCGTCGGGAGCAGGCTGCGGCCGTGCTTGCCGCCGCGACTGACGGTCGTCCACTCGCCCTCGTCGAGCTCGTCCGGGTTGTAGCTCGGGTCGGCCATGCGCGCCTGCAGCGCCGCATGCCGCGCGAGCGCCTCGGCCGCGCTGCCCTCCTTGGGCTTGTCGCCGAGCGCCGCCGCCGCGCCGCCGGCCTTGCCCGTGCGGCGCGCCTGCTTGGCCAGCTTCTTGGCCTCGCGCGCCGCGAGCTCTCGCTGCGCCTGGGCCCGCTCGGCGCTGTACCCGATCGGGAGGCTCGCGGCGCGCCGGGCGTCGAACGTGCGCATCCACGCGTCGACGTGCGACGTGACGAGCGAGCGCGGCGGGCGCGCGAGCGTGTGCCGCGCGCGCGAGGCCGACAGGAACGAGGGGGCGGCGGGGAGGGTGAGGGGCGTCGAGGCGTCGTAGGGAGCGGGAGGGAACGTCGGGGCGGAGGTAAAGGTCGCGATGGCCGAGGTGGAAGACGACGAGGTCGGGTGGGCCGCCATCGAGTCGGCGACGGCGGACGGGTCGAACAGGGGCAGGTACGCCTCCTCGGCGTCGCTGTCGGCCGCCTCGAGCTCCTTCTGCAGCACGCCGACGACGGCGGTACCCTCGGCGTCCGTCTCGGGCGGCGGCAGCATGCGCACCTCGCGCACCTTGACCGCCGCGTCGTCCCCCCAGACCTTGCCCAGCGCCGCCTTGAGGCCCTTGGCCGTCGCGCCGTGCGGGAAGCCCGTCACGAAGAGCTGCGTGCCCGGTGCTGGTGCTGCCGCGTCGTCGTCGGTCGGATCGTCGTTGTGGTGAACGCGGGCGAAGAGGTGCACCTTGCCGCCGCTGAGCGGGAGGGCGTAGAAGCCCGAGCGCAGCGCTATGGGCCGCGCTTGGGGTTGCTGAGCGGGCTGAGTCGGCAGGCGAGCCATCTCGAGAGCTGGCGAGGGAGGTGGAGAGCGAGGCGAAGTAGAAGCTCGGACGAGATGAGGATGGGGAGCTAGCCGGATTCCGCGGAGCTGTCGTCGCGCTTGCACAGAGCTCTCTCTCAGCGAGGTACTGTCCGCGTCGTGCCCGAGAGCTCAAGCAGGCGCTCGCGCTCGCACGTCGCTGCCGACGAGCGGCATGTCGAGCTGCTCTCGGACCTCGCTCGCTCTTGCTCTCGCTCGCTCTCCACGACGCGCCGGGTGCTAGCTGATCAGACATCGTTTATGAGCCCCGCTGCTGCTACCGTGCCGAAAGGGGGGGAGGTGAGGGTAAAGATTGGGAGAGAGAATGAGAGAGAGATGCAGAGGCCGCCGCCCGTCTACTTGAGCGCCTTCATGACGGCCTGGGTGAAGTCGGTCGTCGAGTTCTTGCCGCCCATGTCCGGGGTGCGGATCTGCGTGACGAGGGGTAGACGAGAGTCAGTTGTGGGTCGAGAGAGAGAGAGGAGGCGAGGGAGAGAGGGCGCACCTTGCCCGCCTCGATGACGCCGTACGTGGCCGCGGCGATGTTGTTGGCGTGCGCGTCGAGGCCGAGGTGGCGGAGCTGTGTGTCCCGAAACGATACGGCAAACCGTCAGGTGACTGGCTCGAGCGAGTCTCGAGACGGAAAGGGCGAGTGCGAGGGACGCACCATCATCGCCGCCGAGAGGAGCATCGCGCTCGGGTTGGCGACGTCCTGGCCTGCGGGCAGTGCGGCGAGCTCGTCAGGAACCCGTCATCGACAGGGAGAGACTGAGAGAGGGACAGAGGGACGCACCCTCGATGTCCTTCGCGACGTGACGGCTGCGCGCGAGAGGGAGAGAGCGTCAGGTCGTTCGTCACGTCCGCGACGATCTCAACCGCATCGTCGGACGCTCAAGCGACCGACGATGAGGGCACGCCAGGCGCGAAAAAGCGAAAGAGGACGCACCAGCCGGGCTCAAAGAGGGCGTACTCGCGGCCGATGTTGGCGCCGGGGACGATACCCGGGCCGCCGACGAGCGCCGCGCCGATGTTGGACACGATCGAGCCGTACAGGTTGGGCATGACCATGACGTCGAACTGCTGCGGGCGGTTGACGAGCTGCATCGACGTGTTGTCGACGCTGCGAGGAGGGGAGGGACGGCGAGGGAGGTCAGGACGAGGTGCGGAGCAAACAGGCTGTGCGCTCGGCGACGCACATCATGTCGGAGAAGGTGATGCCTGAGTCCTTGTACTCCTCGGCGACGCGGCGGCACGTGTTGAGGAAGAGGCCGTCGCCGAGCTTCATGATGTTGGCCTTGTGAACGGCCGTGACGTGCTTGCGGCCGTTCTTGATGGCAAAGTCGAACGCAAAGCGCGCGATGCGCTCCGTCTTGTGGCGCGTCATGATCTTGAGCGACTCGACGACGCCGGGCGACGACTGGTGCTCGAGGCCCGAGTACTCGCCCTCGGTGTTCTCGCGGATGATGGCAAAGTCGACGTCGCGGTGGCGGGTTGGGAACCCGGGCACCGACTTGCACAGGACGACCGACGCGTAGATGTCGAGCTGCTGGCGCATGGCGACGTTCCACGACGTGTGCCCCGAGCGCTCGACCGGAGTGTAGAGGATGCCTGCGGGGGCGGTGCGGCGGGTCAGCCTCGACGTGCTCGGCGTCTCGGGTGCACGGAACGACGGGAGAGAGTGAACGTACCCTTGAGGCCGACCTTGTTCCTCCGGAGCGAGTCCATCGAGCGCTTGAAGAGGGCCGCATCCTCGGTCGTGTCGCCCGAGACGTTGAACTTCTCAAACTCGACCGGGACGTTGGCGTGCTGTGTGTCGACGAGTCAGTGCCGGGGCCTGAGCGCTTGCTGCGGGAGAGAGAGGGCGCACCTCGAAGATCTCCTCGACCGACTGGGTAATCTCCTTGCCAACGCCGTCACCGGGGATGAGGGTGACCTGTGGGGAGAGCTCGTCAGTGCCTCGTCGTGCAGGAACGAGACTGGAGAAGCGCGAGGGCGCACCGAGTAGACGCCGCCGTACTGCGAGCGAGAGAGGGCGACGAGGCGAGGAGGGGAGGGGAGAAGAGGTCAGCGGTCGGTCGCCTGTGTGGGCTGCTGGAAGGCGCAGAGTGGACGAGGTTGTGCGCACCTTAGTGGGGACGACCGGGGTGGGCCTCGAGATGTTGACGCCGAGCGTGGTCGCGGTGCGCGCCTGGCCAGCCTACTGGTGACTTAATTTTGCATATTGACACCCGGATCCGA